TTTTTTTTTTTTAAGGGTTTAAATGGCAGAGAATAAAGCCTGTTGCCATAGTTATATAAACATGGGTAAATATCCCTAGGCTGAGAATGGGGGATGTGGGACATGATTCATTTTTGCTGAAGAAGAATCAAATAGTTCGACCTCTTCTCTCCTGCCCCTCAAAACTCAGCCTGGAGGGAAGATGAAATTATCTCACTTGAAAATAAGGAACATAGCAAAGGTCTGAGATTGGTTATGAACATACTTTCTCAAAGCCACCCAGACGTGGGTGGGGGTGGGGACAGGGGTGGGGGAAGGACCCCTAAAGGGTAGCTCAGCATTTGCCCCCTGCTGGTGGGGATAAGTGTGGTGGGTACTTTTCCTGAGGGAGGGGGCGCAACTCCTGGAAATGGTGTCTAAGGGTGTCAGACTCATGGGGTTTGCCTACCTACTCAGGGAGGGTGGCCCCGTCTGTCCCACTGCCAAAGCCTGGAGGTCCTGGCACCAATAACTGAGCTCAAAGGGAGAGGCAGAACCAGTTGCGTCCCAACAGAGCTCACATCCTACAGTAAACAATGGAAACACGGCCGTTCTCCTGGCTCCATATCCCATGGCCCCCACCTGGAGGTCCCCACCCAGTGCGTCTTAGCCCGCCCTCTGGAAGATGCATCCCTGGGTGAGGCTGTGCCCGTCTCCACTGACAGCAGAAGAGCTGAAGAGTTCATACTGATGTGAGGAAAGACATGCATGGCCACACACAGTCTGGAAACCTCATCATAACATCACCCTCCTAAGAGGGGCGTCCATATCCCTACCGCCCTCAGGCCTCCACCCCCTGTGCCTGCCAGCAGCTCCCCCACACCTCCTGAGCATCAACAGGAAAGGCTGACCCTAGAGATAAACATGTGCTGTTGGAATGTGTTCAGATATACTGCGGAACTGTCCCTCTCCAGGCAGAGGACCTCGCCTGGCAGGCAGGCCTGGAGGTGCTGGACAGAGACTGTGTGTCTGAGTGTGAACATGTTGGGACTGCAAGGAGGGGACTGGAGTGAGGCCTAGTTATTCTTTTTTTTAATTACTTAATTAATTTTTAAAATTTACACCCAAGTTAGTTAGCATATAGTGCACCAATGATTTCAGGAGTAGACTCCTTAATGCCCTTTGCCCATTTAGCCCATCCCACCTACCACAACCCCTCCCGCAACACTGTTTGTTCTCTATATTTGAGTCTTTTATGTTTTGTCCCCCTCCCGTTTTTATATTATTTTTGTTTCCCTTCCCTTATGTTCATCTGTTTGGTATCTTGAATTCCTTGTATGAGTGAAGTTTGTCTCTCAAATATTTGTCTTTCTCTAATTTCTAGTTCCATTCACATAGTTGCAAATGACAAGATTTCATTCTTTTTGATTGCTGAGTAATACTCCATTGTATATATATATATATACCACATCTTCTTTATCCATTCATCCATCGATGGACATTTGGGCTCTTTCCATACTT